CTTCTATCTCTCATTATTGGACTCTGTTTTTCATAAGTTTTACTGCCAATGACATTACTAATATTCTGTATGAGTCTTTTATTTCTTCTTCTTGGCTAATTGCTGTGATTAGGACTTCCCAATACTATGTTGAATAAAAGTGAGGAGAGTGGGCATCCTTTTCTTATTCCTGATCTTGGAGAAAAAGCTTTAAACCTTTCACATAAATAAATAAATAAATAAATAAATAAATAAATAAATAAATAAATAAATAAATAAACCTTTCACCAATGAGTATGATGTTAGCTGTGGCCTTGTCATTTATGTCCTTTTTCATGCTGAGGTACATTCCCTATATATGCACTTTGTTGAGAATTTTTATCATAAATGGATGTTCAATTTTGTCAAATGTTTACTTTTTTTGAAAAAAAAAAGCCTGGTTTATTGAGGCAAACTTTACGTGAAATAAAACTCACCAATTTTAAGGGTATGATTTAATGAATTTTGATATATTTAGTCACATCACCACCACCACCACACACAAGATCTAGATGTTCCTATCAGACCCCAAATTTCCTTCATGCCATTTTTACAGTCAAATCCCCCCTCCTACCCCCAGGCCTCAGTAACCACTGGTCAATTTTTTTCTACGGTTTTGCCTTTTCCAGAATGTCATATACATGGAATCTTTTGTGTCTGTCTTCTTTTACTTGGTTTAACTGATTTGAGATTCAGTCTTGTTGCTGCATGTATCAGAAGTCTGTTCCTTTTTATTGCTGAAAAGCATTCTAATGTATGGATAAACCAAATTATGTTTATTGTTTCACTAATTGTTGGAAATTTAAATTGTTTTTTGCCTTTGATGGTTATGAATAAAGTTTCAGTACACATTTGTCTACAGGCCTTTGTGTGGATATAAATTTTCTTATCTCTTGGGTAAATACCCAGACACAGGATTGTTAGCTTACATGGTAAGTGCATATTTAACTTTATAAGAGACTGGCTTTGGCTTTTGTAAAGGAAGCTTACACATATTTCTTTATTCTATCCCTATTTTAGACTAATTGTAATTGTGTCCCATATCATTGTTGTAGAACCCTTTTGTGCAAAATATAGCTTTAACTCCAAGTATGACGAGAAAGCAACAATGAAAGGCTATTTCATGAGCCTCTTTAATACAAACTCATGAAACAATACAAGCTCATGAAACAGTATTTTTAGCAGTGTATTTAGAGCCTGTGTTAAAGAGGAGCCTGTATTAAAGAGGCTTGTGAAATAGTATTTTTAGAGATAAGAGTATTGCTTTAAGAGAAGAGTAAAACCTTGGAATTAGCTGCAGTCTGTCACTTTGATTTGCTGTGCAACCTTTATTTATTAGGCAAATTACCTACCCTCCCTGAATGTCAGTTACTGAACCCTCAAATGTGGGTGAGGCAGGTGTCTACACTGTAGGATTGTCACAAAAACTACATGGGATAATGGAAGTGAGTGCTCCTCACAGGATAGGTGCTGCTGTTACTGCCATTAGATTAACAACTTTTGCTAAAAGCTCAAGTCTACATTCTACAAAACAAATGGTATCACACTCTAGATATTTTAGGATTCATTAGGAATTAATGTGTTTCTTCAGGGGTTGTAAATATGTCACACAGAGACAAATGAGTCTCGTTTGGCTCTAGCGTCTATGATGTGTGAGTTTAAAAACTACTGTTCTTACGTTTTACCACAGATTAGCATTTTGTACTAAATTACAATCATGTTTTTTATAGGTCACTGAGAAATGCTATTGTCACATAAATTATGATGAGAATACCAATTTGTTACAACTTATGTAATATGATTTACCTGGGCCAGGGCCCACTTAGCTTAGTAACTTCTGAGGGTCAGATAGTATCCCAGAGCTCCACTGAAGAAGATACTCTCAATCAAACACATTGACTGTCGGTTTCTAACTTTGCTATTTTAAGACACTTTTCATTTAGTATACTGGCATGTATTTGAGTTGCTAAAAATGTTAATTAGGTTGCACTGACATCTGCTGGTCACACAGTAAATTCCATAAAAATAGTGTTTCATAAATGTCAATAGAATCTAATCATTTCATTTAGTCTTTATTTTTTTATTTGATTTTTTAAAAGATTTTATTTATTTATTCATGAGACAGATAGAGACAAGTAGAGACATAGGCAGAAGGAGCTCCCTGGACTCCAGGATCCAGATCCCTGGACCCCAGGATCATGCCCTGAGCCCAAGGTAGACGCTCAACCACTGAACCACTCAGGTGCCCCTTATTTGATTTTTTAAAGGTTGAGTTTTCAAAACTTGTATCTGCATTTGGGTTTATCAAATTGGGGCCTGTACCCGATCATATCTGATTCAGAGTTCCATTTGATTCAAGTGGCTTGTTACCCTGTTGCATAACTCTGGGATCTTCATAAAGGCCAGGGCAAAAGAAGCTTGGTGAGAAGTAACATACCTTTTCAATAAATCGCAATCTCTTCCAGTCAGTGTTTACCACTGACTGATGGCATAGTCTTCTTTGTCTTCATCATTGTCACATCATAGTCATTATGTCTTCTGCTTCAAAAACAGTATGACAGTAGTGATGTGTATTAATTGAATTCATATTAAATTCATATGCACTTTGAGTAAAGGACTTCTGGGGAGATAGGCTGAGGGTGTAGGGAAGATAGTAAGGTCCAACAGACCTAGACTCTAAGGAATTATTTTTTTCTTGTTAGGAAGTATAACCTGGTTCCTTTATTTATATTTAAGATTGATTTATTTGAGAGAGAGAGAGAGAGAGAAAGAGAGAGAGAGAGCACGTGAAACTGGGCAGGAGCAGAGGGATCTCAAGCAGACTTTCCACTTAGCATGGAGTCCAATGTGAGGCTTGATCGCACAACCCTGAGACCATGACCTGAGTGGAAACCAAGAGTCAGATGCTCAAATGACTGAGCCACCCAGGTGCTCCTGACCTGGTTCTTTTAAAACCTACCAATTCAACAGTTATGTTGCATCAACAAATTTTACAGCATTAGAGAAATGTACGGATCATTTAGTTCATTCCTCTCTTTTGTAGATGTGAAAACTAAGACCCAGGGATCCCTGGGTGGCGCAGCGGTTTGGCGCCTGCCTTTAGCTCAGGGCGCGATCCTGGAGACCCGGGATCGAATCCCATATCGGGCTCCCGGTGCATGGAGCCTGCTTCTCCCTCTGCCTATGTCTCTGCCTCTCTCTCTCTCTCTGTGACTATCATAAATAAATTAATTAAAAAAATTAAAAAAAAAGAAAACTAAGACCCAGATAAATTTACATAACCTAAATCATTACTTAGCTTATATGAGAAAAATGTTTCCTAATTCTCCCACTGCAGTATTCTTTCCTATATAAATTGTCTTCACTAGCTGCTTATTACTTAAACCAAAAATACTTGAGCACTCAAATATGATCATTTGAGAATTTATATTTAGCTTACATTAACTCAATCATCCTGACTTTCTCTAACTAGAGATGTGTTATTAAAATATACACTGTATTATGTAATATTGCTCAGTAGTGATTCAGAAATAGGTGTCTATCCATAGGTCCTCCCCAGAACCTGAAGATCCATTTCTTCAGATGTGAAAATAAAGACATGTGGATTGGGGTGGGTTGGGGGGAAGGCAGGAATAAATCCTAATCAGGGCCAGAAAAATTTCTGGCTCTTTGATCAGATTTGGGGTAACAATTATGCACCAGATGTCTTATCAGTAATATATGCACATTTCCTGCCCCCCTAGTTTTCTGTTCCAATAGGCACTGTTATATGGGATAAAACTTGAAAATGCGACTTGCATTGTGAGAAAGTATGCACTCTATAGATAAATTACCAATCAAATAAACTATAATATAATGTCAAGCACATTTTTCCTCAACTTCAGCACTACTGACATTTTGGGATGCTTAATTCTTTGTATTGTGGGGCTGCTGCATCAAGTCAGTAGCATGCCCCCCCCCTTTTTTTAAAGATTTTTATTTATTTATGAGAGACACAGAAAGACAGAGGCAGAGACACAGGCAGAGGTAGAAGCAGGCTCCATGCAGGGAGCTCGATGTGGGATTCAATCCCGGGTCTCCAGGATCACAACCTGAGCCAAAAGCAGACGCACTTAACCACTGAGCAACCCAGGTATCCCACATACCCCTAATTATAACAGCCAAAATGTCTCCAGACATTGCTGTGTGACCCCTGGGGGGAGGGTGACAAAAATCAGCCCAACTTAAGGACCACTGCTATAAATTAAAGCTCCTTCCCTCAGGTTTATTATGTTTTTTAACTACGTAAAATATTCTGATCAAGAGTTTGATTTTTTTAAAGATTTATTTATTTATTTATTTATTTATTTATTTATTTATTATTTATTCATGAGACACACACACACACACACACACACACAGGCAGAGACATAGGAGAAGCAGGCTCCAAGCAGGAAGCCTGATTTGGGACTCGATCCTGGGACTCCAGGATCATGCCCTGGGCCAAAGGCAGATGCTCAACCGCTGAGCCACCCAGGCATCCCAAGATTCTTTTTTTTAAAATAAAATATTGTCATATAAAAAGAGAAGCCTCGAGTCCTTTCTAGTTTAGATAAATACTTCATTTGAATATTCCATTCTGAGCCAGAGTTAATAAAGTGGGTTCCTTAAATTGTTTTCAGTACTTGCATATTCATTCTTGCTTCTTTTTATTCTCCAAGGTATAATTTTGACACAGCTACTAACTCACGACCAAGTTTCTTTAACTCTTGGCCAAGCTGCTCTTTCTTTATCTGTAACAGCTTTGGAAAAATTTGTGTGCTTTCCTAATGCTACAAAGTTTTCTCTACACTTTATGCCCTTTGAAACCAAAAGCAATCAGGGAAATTTTAGGGCAGGTATTTTCATCCCCATTCTCCAGATAAGGAAATTAAGTAGAGCCATGACTCAGTGCATGTTTCCAATGTATCAAATGTTCTTTTTTATTTCTTTTATATTTTTAGGTATTGAGAGAGCCTTCATGAAAGAAGAAAAGGAGTGATGGAAGTCAGGAGAAAAGGAGTAGAGAGAGCGAAGTTGGGAGAACCCTAACAGAGCAATAATCACTGGTTTATGAAATAGCCGTGGCGTAAGGAATGACTTCTCACCATTGAAGCACTAGCAGTCAGTGAAATTTGGCACCTCCCCAACCCTCCTCCATATCATGATCCTCCACTCCATCCTCCCCTGCCCATTCCCTCTACCTCCTGCCCTTCCCTGCATTTGAGAGCACAGCTTGCATACACACCTTTGGGTCAAAGCCTTGGGTCCTTCCAAGAGGAACAAATGTGAGGGTCTTTTTTTTTTTTTTTTTAAAGATTTATTTATTTGAGGGGAGGAGGGGCAGAGGGAGAAGAGAATCCCAAGCATACTGTGCCGAGCATGGAGCCCCACGTGGGGCTCATCAGTCCCATAACCCATAAGATCATGACCTGAGCAGAAACCAAGAGTTGGATGCTTAACTGACAGCCACCCAAGTGCCTCCCCCATTTTTTTTTTTTTTTTTTTTTCTGGATCAAGCAAAGGGGTCAGCAATTCATTGCCTACACTTCAAGCCTGGAACAAAGAGTTTCTAGAAGCACTTCAGAAGCTTCCTAAAACTTACACTGCCTTTGAATCTTTTATTTGACAGTTGGGCTGCCTATTTTTCAGCCTTCTTAACAGAGTTAACATAACCAAATCCTTCCAAACCCTGCGACCTTCGAGTATTTTGTACAGGGAAAAAAGAAAGAAAACCTTTAAAGAATATGCAAAGTTGGGAAGTCCGATGGAAAATAAGTGTCTTCAGATGTGATATGAATAGTGCAGCTATGGCAATGTTTCTAGACGCATATAGCAATATGTATCAAAAACCCCCAAAACACACATACTACTAGATAGGTCCAGGTATTGAAATTCTTGGCCTTATTATAAAGGAATCATTATAGATGTGCTCAAAGGCAAGGGCACTTACCCAAATGTTGTCCTAATAGTAAGAAATCAAACAAAATGGTAGTATGATTGATTATATAGTTTATCTATCCAATGAAATACCAAATTAATTGTGCTATTAAAATATATGACTAGGAAAGTCAGAAGAAATAGACACAAATATGCTTAGCCATTGTTAATGGGGTGGTGTGCTTTTCATTTCTTTATACTGTTCTGAATAATCCAAAATTGCTAGAATGAATATGTAGGGTTTTAAGAATAAGGGGCATTTGAAATTTTATTTTTTTAAGATTTTATTTATTGAGAGACGGGGGTGGTGGTGGTAGGCAGAGGCACAGGCAGAGGGAGAAGCAGTCTCCATGCAGGGAGCCGGACGTGGAACTCGATCCCAGGACTCCAGGATCACACCCTGGGCTGAAGGCAGGCGCTAAACCACTGAGCTACCCAGGGATCCCCTGGTATTTGAAATTTTAAAAAATGACATGAAAATTGCCATAGTTCTCTGTCCATTGTTATATAGGAATAATTTATTGAATATCCACATGGTGGGCTCAGGGGTTTTCTAATACTTAGGTGGCGAGTTACAGAATTAACTGCACTTATTAGCAATAACACACCTCAACAGTTCTCATTTATTGGCCATGAAAATGGGCAAGGCATTGTGCTATATTTATATAAGCTATCTGTTTTATTTCTTAAAGCAAACCCCTTGGTAGATAGGACTCTCATTTTTGCAGATGAGGAAGATGATGCTCCAGGAAGTTAAATGTGAGATCTAAGGACTTCAGTCCAAATATTCTCCTGGCACATTTAGCCTCTAAGCTACATTACTTTCTTCATGTAGTTTTAAAGCTGAGCATCATCTCTTCTCCTGATCATTTGGAGCAAGAACAAGAGGGGTACAGAGGAAAGCAGTTTTAGTAGAATCACAGCCGCAAGGCAAAGGTCTCTGTATGATAGACTGAACTTCACTTTGTGATCCTATTTGCTCTATAATGTCTGAAAAACATGATATAATTAACTTATGTGGTGCTTAAGACAAATTTGAGAACACAAAATGGGAAATAAAATCTGGGAGTATTTTCCCACTGGAGAATTTCCTCCTGGGGAATGCAGCTAATGTCTCTGCTTTACCTGAGCAATATATTAGAATAATTAGAAATTCATAAAAATACAGACCACAAAAACATTGATTCTGTTTAATTAACAAAACATCTGCAAGGTAGAAGTTTATTTTATTTATCTGCCAGTGGAATTCCAAGAGGCAAAAAAAAATCACTATCAAGGTTGGCCAAAGCAGATAATGAACATCATAGATTTTTAGTGAGGTTCTGGGTTCTAATGGTTTTACCTGACTGCATTAAGACACGTACACATGCCAATGTAAAGAAAGAACATTTACTGAACTAACTGCACAGAGACCTCATTGTTGGAACATTAACCATGACTATTATTGTATTTTTGCAGCTCTGCAAAGGTGCGGATATAATGACATCATGGGAGGAGGAGGGGGGAAAAGGAAGGGGAAGGTGGCAGACACGGGCTTAATTAAGTATTCCTTGCTGCTAGTACGAACAAGGACCAAACACAGACACTGTGTGGAACACAGATACTAATTCACATAACAGAGTAAGCAATTTAACAATTTACCGATGCAGACTCCCTATAAAATTCCTCTGCTATGATTCAGTTATTTTTTTTCCTCTATGTAATCAAAATATTATCATGATGAATAATACCTTGAATCTTTTTTGAAAAAAAGAGAGAGAGAAAGCAGCAGCAGCTCTGAATACAAGAGATCAACTCTGTGTATAATACGTATAACTCTTTAGTATCCACAAGATAACCTATGCCCTAACAATAAGAATTTTTCAATACAAGGGTTTTAACTTCCATCAGTTCCTAATGAATCATTCTTTCAGAAGATTATTTTTTAAGTTTCATAAACAACACATAGTTCATGTAAAATATAAGAATTAACATAAGCTCTCAAGGTCAGATTCAGGGACACAATGCATTGCCTGAATCTAGGAACACATTTGCTCCTTGCTGCATATAAGCTGCACGTAAGAAACACAGGCTGCACTTTTTTGTGATCCATGCAGTAAATGTTCACAAAAATCAAGCAAACAACTAGACATCCTTCAGCTACTAAAATGAACTCTCTCAGTCACAACAGACTCATCAACGAAAATAAAAGCACTGATGGCTGCATCAAAACCATGCCGGGCTGAGTTAGTGCTGGAAAGGGCTGGCTGGAAAGACCACAATGAAAGCACTGAGAGTCATGAGTTGTCCACTTGTTTTTATAAGGGATTGAAGATTATTCTCCTTTCACATGGCTTTTCTCTACACCACAGGCTTTTGCAAACGAGGCATTTCAGGCTTCAAATGAAAACAATCATCCTTTAATGAAAAATCTGAGAAATTCTTTTCTGGAGTTTCTGATCCTGGAGACAACTTGCTATATAGGTCCTTAAGGCAAATGCCAGGAGTCAAAGAAATTGTAGAACAGTCTCGGAATGTAAACAATAAAATCACTGACCAAGGAGTTCTATCCATGGATGAAAACCCCTCCAAAAATACCTATCTAGAGAGTACCAGCTTCTTGGTTTTTGAAGTTCATGTGAATTTTATGTCCTAGAAGCACTGTACATTGTTTCCTTTGTAGAGACTTCTGTAGTGGATAAAAGTTCATGGTGTTGCTTAAAAAAACCCAAACAAAACAAAACAAAACAAAACACCAACCCTAGCAAAGAGAAGCTACTCAAATACTAAGCAGTTCTGAGGTTTGTTTTTGTTTTTGTTTCATATTTTGCTTTTGTGGTTGGCATAGGGAAAACCAAACTGAGAAATCATAATATTGGAGTATTTTAAGGGCATGCTATTGTAGATATTAACAAGCTTATTTATACAGTAAGACCTCTGCAAAAAGTGCTCAGCTCGATGCCACATTCCAGGATAGCCACCATTGGATTCTTTTTCTAAATTGCCCATGTTTACAGGTTTCACAAATACCCCTGAAGTCTTCCCGGTGTGCTTGGCAATGATAAAATTCATGGCAATATCATCACAGTTTTGGATTTCATCTATCAAAGCATGGACAGCGGCAGGCTGCCTCTGAAACAGGTCAAGGTATTTGCTATTGAAGAACGAGGCTCCAATCAGCACCATAGAGTACTGGTCACCATTCCCAAACCCTGGGGTCTGCAGTTCAAAACCTCCATAACTGTAGATGCCTGATGAAGTAGAGACATGCTTTCTAGGAACAAATCCTACAATTTGATCAGGAAATTGCTGAAAAGATGGAAAAAGAACAATTAAAGGTGGCATTTCATTAGAGCAGACATGGTGAAAAAGGCAATGATTTATTACAGAGAGAACTAAACTGATTTATCAACTTTCTTTTATTCCTGGCTTCTACCTCTCAATTTCATCTAATTCCAGGCAACTTCAGAAATCTATGTCCTGATACATTTCATTTGTAGGTCAAAATTCCATCACAACCCAAACTGTTGACAAATTTTCTAACCTTACAAATACTATCTTAATTCAAATGTTATCTGATATTAATAAATTCTAGTCACCAAAGAGTCTGGTTCTTCAAAGCTGATAGTATGAATGCTATTTATTATGGGAAATAAGAAGATATAGTATAATTATTTTGAAAACGTTTCAATCTCTTAAGAGTACGTAAAACTATGGATCTACATGTATGATTTTACTGTTTCCCCATGTTGATTTCAATATTCTTGAAAGCCACTGTTAAAATTAAACAACGCTATATTTCTTTCCCTTTTCAGCTTGGGCATTTCTTTTTTAAAAATACGAGTAAAAAATATATAATGAGATATTGTCAGGATCTTTGAAAAAAGGATAGTAGTAAAATCATAATACTAAAATGAGAGTAACTAAAAATGAAACAATCAGCCAACAAGAGAAAACCAGTGAAGCATGGAAAAGAAGAATTTACATAGTTAAAAGGTTTAGTTCAATCTTATAAGTGCTTCGTGCTTTACTCATTTACTAAAAAGACATTAAACTAGGGACACACACACACACACAAATCAGGCTAGGTTAAACCCCATTTCAAAAAATTCATCATCTGGGAGGGGTAGGATCCAGATACGGAACACGGAATTCCCACGCTATGAGATGGTTGTATGAGCAGTTGGGTAAGTGTTCCGAAGTACCGAGGACAGGATGACAGCTGTGTTGCTGGGAGGCAAAGGGGAAAGTCAGTGGGTGGAGGATAAAGCCTGGGAGGCTTTGGAAAGGATATGCCATTTACATCATCTAGGAGAATGAATAAAGTTCCACAGATATCTAGAGGAGGAAAAGTCACACGCTAATTAGCGGTAACGGGGGAGTGCAAAGGCATGCTAGATGCCCACTCCAGCCTTGCCTGCCTCTGTACCCCAAATCGTTAGACTACACCAGGCACTGATGGGGCTGAACTTTAGGAGTCAGGTTACCTTGGGCAATGGATTGAAACTATTCTTGTTTATTCTTCTATGAATAAAACCTAAAAATCATATTTATCCATCTTTAATGATTGTTTACTTGGATTGTTCTAATTAACCACGATTCTATTTTCCCATTACCCTGACAGTTTAGGGAAATTGATTTTTTACCTGAAAGAGAAATTTCACAGCTGGAGTATTACATTAGATTTTTTTTTGCCTAAGAAGCTTTTATTTACAGGGCTGGAAAAACTGCTATAGGGGAAAAAACTTGTTGATCGGTATACTTGGCATAAAGTTAGAAACTTACGTTTTGAGAGTACTGACAGCTTGCAGAGTACCGCGACCACTTACCATTAATATCTAATGTTCTCATATCCCATGTAGCTAATTAAGGAGAGTTACTGTAGTGCAAATTAGACCATTTATTCGGTAGCACAGTGTTTAATTATTTGACACAGCTTCAGAATACTGGTGTGAAGTCCTGGTTTTAGGTAATTGTACTGCCACTTGTAAAAGCCAGTTACTATTAATTAACAGATTCAATAGCAAAGAATTGTTTTTATAGAATAGCAAACAATTTATGCCTGTTTATTCCAGCTAGGATTTAGGGGAAAAAAAACCCAAAATAAATTTTAAAAATGCATACATAAATAAATAAAACTGCCACCACAAAGATGCAAGTGGAATTAGTACTGCTACTAATTCCTAAAAAGTGGTCCCAGCATTAGGATTAAATTTTGCAGGTGTAATAAACACTTTCTTTTAAAGAAAGTTATATACAATATTAATATAGAAATACACTTCTCATTTGAGACACATATCTGTGGCCTTGTAGAAAATTATCTCTCTAGATTCTAGTCTTTGCTATACCAGATCATTTCCTCCTTGTTCTCTGGAAGGTAGTTCTAGCTCTTTTCCCCAGTATATCAAATATAAATCAAATACAGATAAAAGATACCAGATTTTGCAGGTTGGCTTAACTGAACACGAGCCACGTTGATTGCCATACAACAACTGTATCTGCCTCTTAGATAAATAGTGTCTATGCTGTTTAAGATGACTCACGTTAAACCACACTGGCCAACTAAACCCTAGGTAAAACTTTATACTGATGAATTCATAGAGGAAAAAGCAACATTACCTGCCAAACTGAGAAAGCAAAGACAAGGTCTTGGGCACTAATTAGCGTGTCATCATCTACCATTAACACTGCTGCAACAAAAAAGGAAAAAAATAATTATACCCAACAGTTGGAAATGAAAACAAAGCTAGTAATATACAATGGTGTCTAGATAGAGCGTTCTAATGAATAATTTTCTAAACAAAATTAGTAAATAAGAAATGTATTCTTAGAAAAAGTACTTATTTGAAATGTAATTGATATTTATAATTGCCTGAGGGGGAAATTATCATGCAGCTCTCATCCATTATCCTAGAAACAAATGAATCTATAAATAAAAGAGGGTCTTTCAAGCAAATTACAACACTCATGAGACTGCTCTGACCGGGAGGAAAAGGTGACAAAAAAATACATTAAGCATAAGCTGAATGGCATTTTACTACTTTCTGTGATACAACAATATGTAATTATAGAGGATCTTTCACATTAACTTCTTTGCCACTGTTGCAAGACCTATGGGATTTCTTCCCCGCAAAACTGCTTCTTGACAGCTTGAAAACTTCCCCTTATGTTTTTCAAAGTGCTTTCTTTTGATTCACTCCCCCTGCTTTCTCCACATAATAGGACAAGTAGAAGGCCCGAAAACTAAACATCCGCCCCTGGCTCTGGTTAGCTGCAGCCCTAGCCAGCTAGGAGCCCAGCAGCAACTCACCATTGGTTTCTAGTTCAGGAAAGACCTGGAGTCGATTTCTCATCCTGTTTGTTGTCTGTAGTTTGAAGATCACAGGGACGGGATGCGGCCCTAGAGAATTCCATAACTCGTCTGGTCCCTTCTCCCCAACATTGTTCCACACTACAATCACTTTATGCAGATATGGCACAGCCTGATAATGATTTAAGAGTCTCAGTAAGAGATCTGTTCTGTTGTATGTCTGCATTATTAGAGTAAAGGAATCCAGGGTGGACTTGCCCTGGGATTTTATTTCCCTACGCAAAGTGAGCATCTTGTCTTCCTTGATATTTGGAAGTAAAGTGGTCAAAGCCCCGGCTACGAGCAGCAGCACGAGGATGACCACCAGAGAGAAACGAAGGACTCGAATGCCCATCACTCGTCCGGGAAGTTTGCAGATGTGGCAATATCTGGAATAGAAATGGAAATAAAATACAGAGTGTCAGCATTCTTACTAGTTACCGTGCTTTTGGTTTTGCTTTTTTAAGGAGGATGGAGGTAAATCTTAGTTTAGTTGATTTAAATTCAGTTCTCCCTGCCTCTTTGATAAGGCAATTTGGCCTCAGGAAAAAGTGGAAAGTGCAGTGAATCAACCTCCCCTTGGGCCTGCTTGCTTCGCAGTTGTGGACAGAAGCTCATTTACACACAAGCCAGAAGAGTTAAGGAGTGTATTTTAAAAATCTGCCCTCATTTTAATATGAAGAATTTGGAACTGGAGCTATTTTTTCAAATGATATTACATTTCTCTTAGGAGTGTACTCATTCTTTAAACAGCTTTACTGAGATATTATCGACATAAAAATTGTATATCTTTAAAGTGTACAACTTGATGTTCCTATACATGTAGACAGCTGACCTTTGTACAGCACAGGGCTGAACTGCATGAGCCCACTTAATATGTGGATTTTTTTCAATAAATACAGCCTAGGATTGTCCATGGCTTTTTTCTTCCTTAGGATTTTCTTAAACATTTCCACTTTTCTGGCTTAGTATATTGTAAGAATACAGTATATAATACATCTACAAAATATGTGTTCATTGAAACATGTATGTTATAGGAAGGCTTCTGGTCAACAGTAGGCTATTAGCTAAGTTTTGAGCGAGTCAAAAGTTATATGTGGATTTTTGACTGTGTGGTGTGTTGGCGCTCCTAACCCTCACATTGTTCAAGGGTCATTTATATTCCAGAGTACTAAATTTAAACATACTTCTTGGTAGCAAACTTTTGTCCCCCCCAAAAAACCATATGCAGATAACCCTGATACAAGAAACATAATAATGGTAGCAACAGCAGCAACAAACAATTATGCTGAGTTTACAACTTATCAGGCCCTGTACTAAGTGCGTTGCATGTCATAGTATGTACTTATTCACTCAATAAAACAAATAGCTATGAGCGCTCATCGTACCAGGCACTGTTCTAGGATCTGTAGATACAGCAAAGAATAAGATAGACAAAGTCTCTCCTGTTAGACACAGAGAAAATAGTAGACAGAGGCAGACAAAAAGTAAACCCAAAGATAATTTAGGATAATGCTAATGAAGAGAATACATCAGAGTGATATAAGCAAGGGCCAGATTACCAGGGATTTTGTCAGCTGAGTAAGGAGTATGGATTTTATTCTAGTTGAGATGGGAAGCCATTAGAAAGGTTTGATCAGGACAGTGACAGGATCTAGTTTCTTCTACTACAGTCTGGAAACTTACAGAAGTTAAATATCTTTCTCAAGATTGGACCTGGAATCTACACCCAAGAAAATCTGCTGCCAGAGCCAGGCTGTTCATCATTATGGGCTAAGGGAGGTATGTACTGCTAGATTTAAATTCTGGTTGAATTGAGGTAGGGCTCTGGAGCTTCTAGATCACCCTCTCTCACAGCACAAGAGTATCAGAAGGTACTGTAATCAGCTATATACTCTCTTACCCCTCACTATACCTAAAGGATCTGCCTAAGATGACTACTAGGTGAACATACATCTCATGAATGTGGCCTGGAAATTCATTGGTCAAACATTACTGGCTGATTCAGACCTCTCAGTCATGTATGTAAGAAAAGACTGAATCTCACAGGCAGTATTGCAGAGACCCAGAGCTCTGATTTCATACCCTCTCATACAGTTCACCATCACCCCTGCTGCTTCCTCCTGGAGCACTGTTGACTTTCAATTGCTGCCATTTTTTTTTCATTCTTCTAGTTCTGCTTCTGATTCCAGACTTTATTTACTCTGCCACAAGCTCCCATAAGCTTTTTAGGTAAGTCCTTATTTTATATTTTGGCAGCTGAGCCTTCATATACATCTTACCATGCATACCCTAGAACTATTCAACTGTTCTGTTCAAGTATGAAAGCAAGAAATGAGGAAAAAATATTCAAAGATCCCTACCTATAAAAGACTGAAAACAAAAATCAACCAGAAGTTTCTAAACATTTAGAAAATACCTTTAAGGAAAAAATAGATCTTAAAACCAGAAAGAAGAAGATATTATTTCTTTTCTTTTTTGAGATCTTATTCTTTATGCCTTTAATGGATCTATCATCTATCCTCTCATTATTTTTCATACAATTTCTCTTCTCAGGCTATACTCTCATCTCATGAGAAAAATACTCTCATCTATTCCACAATAAGACAAACATGATAAAGCTAGAGGAGACTGCTCCCTCACAGCTGCAGTATGCTAATCACACTGAGCCACCGTTGCTGTTCTTCTCTGTGTATCATTGCCTCTGTATAGTTTATTTTTGGTTGTCTTCATCTCCTTAGAAAAATGTGCTGTGTATGGATACCTAAGCTCTTGAGTTCACACCCTGTGGCTAACTGGGCATGTGCAGCCAGACTGCCATTCCATGGGCAATCCTAAGACTGTAGTCTAATAAATCTTCCCATCTTACAGAGTAGATTCTCAATGAAGTCACACTTCAATTTCCAAATGATGTGCAGTCAACCTTTTGTTTTTCACTGAAGAGATTTAGCAGTGGTGGAATTCAAGTGACAATCCCATGCCTGTGATCTTATTTCATGTGGTAAGGCATGTTTTGTTACTGTAGAAACAGTTTCTCTATTCATAGTTCAGCAAGGACATAGACCATCTAGACCATGCCTTTAACATCTCCCTTTGGAGCTTATGAGAATGGGGAATGGAATTCTAACAGGGCTAGGGGCATATACTCTATGATTGGATAGTGTGCGGAGGCATGTGCAAGCAAAGAAGAGCTTATTCATAAGATCAAGGGGATGGTCATTGTCATTCAACAACTCACACTTTTCAATAGTCCAGATTTGGAAAGCAATGTTACCTTGCAGTAACCTTTTTTAGAGAGTTTTCAAAGATTTTCTCTCCTGGACTTTCTCTGTAGCCTGTTCTGTTGAGAAAAGCAATTTTGTGTTTCTCCTTTTATCATGGCCTCATGCAAGATATGAATAAAATGAATTATTTTTGAAGTAACCTCAGCTTACTGTGATTATTTTTCAAGGACAGTAATTTAAGACTCTAGAATACAATGTTTTCATTGCACGCACCCCCTTACTAAACATACTGTTAATATAGGCAACCAAAGACAAACCACTATGAATTAATAATCTTGGTTCAAAGGCCTTGAAAATCCTTCTAATCTACTGAATCAAAATCAGGTCTCATAAAACATATTTCAGTTCTGCATAAAAGCATAAAAATGGGTAGCTATAAGCACTTAAGAGCAAAGAATCATCTGACAATTGCATTAAAATACACCCTGATTAAAATCTATGTGTTCATTTTTCACAGCTGAGTAGGAATACCAAATTGTAAAACTTACACAGAAGTACTTCTAGTTTCTAAAGCAGATACAGGTAACTACCTGGCAATTTTAGTGTAGAAAAAGTAATGAAGATTAATTACTATGGCCTACTATAAATACAATTATATAATATTTATATATTTATGTATACAATATATAATAATTATATGGCCTATTATAAATACACATTGTCAAAGAAACTCATGAGTATTTCACTTTTACCTATACTTTTAAGTAGGATTTATCCCCATGCTCTTCAGAGAAATTTCCTCTTTCAGGTAACTTCTAATCCTCTATTTTACCTGTATCAAAAATGTGTTGGGAGATATGAATAATTTATCTTTAGAAACACAGTGTAAATATTTCATGTGATATTTATTAAATAATGCAACCCAATAAAATTATGTACAATTTTTAATCTGTATAGAAAGGCAAGAAGAGCAAGAACAGAGATTGTGGTACAAGTGGCACATCAGTACTTTGAGAACAGGTAAGTCTGGAACTCCACTGTAGGCCCACTAAAAACAGTTTCAGATCAGTTTGGAGAAGAACAATGACTTCACTGGCCATCTGGATTTCATTTTATAGTTTTCTTCTGTTCTTTCTCTAGAGAAAGAACTTATCTAATTCATAGTTTTGAGCTTTGAACATGAGATTCACATCTCGTGCATACCTGGGGCAGTCTACATAATACGTAGAAAGAACCAAGAAGTAAATGCAGGCACCTCCCAGTTCTCTTGCTCTCAATTCCTGCACCTTCTTCTTAGATTTGATTTTCTTATTCCTTTTTAATGTCTGTATCTATTTACTGACACCTTGTCTCATTCTAAAAAGGATCTGTTAGCTCTTAGACTATTGCTTCTCTGCCTTTCTCCAGTCCATGACTCACCATAGATTAAATGTGACTTTAATAAATATGGTAAATGTCACCAAAATAAAACGTCTCCCTCTTCTGATCATCTGAAAAAACAAAGACTCCCAAATGACATTTTATGCACATGTTAACGTATTAGTTCTTCATAGAGAGAGCACATCCTTGTAATTATTTTCATATTGTTCTTCTAGCATCTTCTAAACCAGGGGTTTTCAACAGGGATGACTTTGTTCTCCGGGTGATATGTGGCAAAAACTGGAGACATTTTTGATTGTCAAAACTGGGAAAGAGATGCTCTCGAGTGGGCAGATATCAGAGTTGCTGCTAAAATCCTGCAATGGACAGGACATCCCTCCACAGGGAAGCATTATCCGGCTTAACATGCCAATAATGCTGAGGATGAGAGACCCTGCTTCACATATACTTTACCTAACAAGACATACCTGGACATGATTGGGGGAAGGACTGCTAGCCAGATGGCCTCTGAAAACTCCACTGCTTTGGTTCTACTCAAATAAGGGATAAAGCCATGGATCCAAACTGCCCCAATATTTATATGCTTTGCTGTACAAATACATAAAATGAAAAGAGATCTAAGTCAACTTATTTCATAAAGAACAGAAGGTCCAGGCATAAGGAACTTGCCTAGGCTCATGTAGCTGCATATAGCACACCAGCAGCAGAGCCAGGACAAGAATCGAGATCTCCTGATGGCACGAAAGAGCCCATGACTCTTTCCACTGTACTATAGTCAATTCTGCAAGGATGTATAAAAAAATAAGTACATAAGACTGTCACTATCTGTAAGATAATATTCATACTTGGTATGCTGGGGTATTTTTTACAACTTCATCAAGATTTGTTTCCTATACCTTAAATTTCACCCATTTAAAACACAATTGACTCTTGAACAATATAGGTAGTAGGGGTACCAACCACTCCACCCCACATAGTCAAAACCCCATGTATCATTTTTAACTCCCCCAAGACTTAAATTCTAGTAGCCACTATTGACCAGAAGCCTTAGAGTAACATAAACAGTGGATTAACACATATTTAATATGCTATACATATTATATACTGCATTCTTACAGCAAAGTAAGCCAGAGAAAAGGAAATGTTATTTTAAAAATCCATCTATACCACTGTACTGTATTTATTGAAAAATATCTGCATGTAATGGGATCTGTGCAGTTCAAACCCATGTTGTTTAAGGGTCAACTAAACACTTCAGTGGCTTTCAGTATATTCACAGAATTGTGCAACCGGCACCACAAATGAATTTTATAACATTTTCAACACACCAAAAAGAAACCCCCGGACCCATTCATTAGCAGATACTCCCCATTTTCATCTCCTCCAGCCTCCCTCCCTGACCAGGAAATCACTAATCTACTTTCTGTCTCCACAGATTTGTCTGTTCTGGACATTGCATATAAATGGAATCAAACAATTTGTGTCCTTTGTGTAAGGCTTTTTTCCCTTAGCAGAATATCTTCAAGGTTCATCCATGTCACAAAACATACATCAGTACCTCACTCATTTTTTTATTGCCAGATAATATTCCATTCCCACATAGATATAACACATTTTGTTTATCAGTTGCTGGACATTTGGGGTGTTTCCACATTTTGCTATTATGAATATTGCTGCTATGAACATTCATGGACAAGTTTTTATGTGACATATGCACTCATTTCTCCTGGGAGAAATGAGCAGAACTAGGAGCAGAACTGTAGGGTCACTATGTCAGAAATCTTTTAACATCTGAGAATTGAAGAGCTTTTGGAAGAGCATTATTTGAAATGTGAAAAAATTTTTCTTAAATGTGGGTATAAGAGTAAGAAAGTAAACAATGCACACATAGTCTATAAAGCAACAGTTGCAAATTCTCTAATGGGTGTCTCTAAATAGACCAGGCAATTTGAATTTTCAAAGACCCACTATGCAGTTATTTACTTATATCATCTATCAACATTCCCTGGAAGGAATGCTGTTGAATGAAAAATCCTTTTTTCACGGCTAGTTCCTTCAGACTGAAAAAGCAACAATTATCCAGACTGAAGCTGAAAACAAATATGCCATAGTATGAACAAAGATTAGTTATGTCCTCTGACTCATAAAGTAGGGAAGTAGGGAGCAGCCTGATGTCGTGCTTTGAGAAGCTGTCATTTTCATTTTGATGCCACAGATGGCAGAGGAATGATAACTCTCCTGCCATTTCACTACTAGATTTGTCTCATATTGTACAGATTGTTTTCTCCTCTGGTTCATCCTGCAAAATATGTACTTGCCTAAAAACTGATGATCATAGACTATAGATGCTCAGAAAAGGGCCCTCAGCTGCCAAGACATAAAATCATCTTCAAAGTGGAACGCAGAGGCCAATTCAGAACCTGGGCTTTCCTTCCGTGAACATGTAAGACCTGGAAGAGACAGCTATGCAACTGGTGAGTAGTTTCTGACCAGGTTCATGGCAGATGACACACTCACTGCTCAATCCCAGGCAAAGAGACACTTGGTGCCAAATTCCAGAAGGACTTTCCTCTCATGGTACCAACAGCCAGGGTGCTGGCCTAGGACTCCAAGTGTTAGTACACGCTATTTGCCCCACCTACAAAGCCCATTCCTGTCCCCAGCTGACAAATTCCTATCCCCAGGGTGACTCCCAAGTCTCTTTCAAACATCCTCAGCCCTGCAAACACTCCTCGCACTCTCCATCCTCAGTACGCCTGAGAACTAGAACATAGTGCTACTAGGCTTTGTTTCCAGGTATTACAACCATTGACTATGCTCCTTTTTGAGTCTGATTGCATCTGGAAGGCAGTTCCCATCAGTCTTTGTAACCCAGAACAGTCCCAGGCCCATTTTCTGAGCAAGTGCTCCCAACTCTTTGTGGTTAAATGGGGTAAGGGCATCCCTGTTCAAATGGTCTTCAACTCTACAATGGATAAGAAATGTTTGAAACTAACAGAACAAACTTAAATTAAATGCGAATGAAGGCCCAGTTAAGACTAGTCCCAAGAAGCGAGTCCCTATGTAAAAGACCTGAGGATAGTATCCCCCATCTGGTGACCAGCACAGCCAGTCATGAAATGTGGTCTCAGGCACAAGCCACTTCTCCACCTTCAGTTCTGTGGTCAAGCTACTTTGATAAATAAAAGAGATCCCAAGACTCTCTCCTTTTTTCTTTTCTTTTTTTAATCTTTTCAGAGATATTCTGCATTAAAATACCTTTGCACATCCTTGTTTCTATGGAAGCTCTTAGAGAATGAGCTGATTTGCCTTGAGGGGGAAATCATCACTTCTTAGATAATATCGCCCTTGTGAATTTCCCCAAACTTTTAGAAGCTAACAAAAATTAGAAGCTAGATGACTTCATCTGGCAGGCAGCATACATGATTTTAAACCAACAGAAAATAAAATCTAGTTGAGAAATGGGTCCAGAAACTGACCAAAAAAACCCCTTAGACTTGAGGATGATTGGCAGAAAAAGAAAATGAGTGAGAACACTGCCACCAAGTGTCATTCACTATTGCCCATAGTAAGCCTCTTCCATTAAAATTTGAAGCCGCATACACTAGAATTTACTTCACAGCAAAACACAGAATGCCAGAAATAGCACATGAAAGGTCATTTTTCTTTACAAGTCTTTTCTAGGTGCTACACAGTATTCTGGGAAGAGTTCTCCCTTTAGTATTTTCCACATATTCAAGAAATTCATTCTTTTCACTGTTATTTTAGAAGTGCCATACCACTTTTCTCATCCTTTACCAACTGCTATCTTCTGCTTCCTAAATGATTTTCCCTCATTTTTCCTCCTGAAGAACCCATCTGTTCTTATAAGGCTCTTCCTAACTCCCATTACTTTCTTCACAGGTCTAAATACATCAAAATAAGTTAAATCATTTTGTTACCAATAAATATTCATTATTATTCGTATTTAGTAATAGGAAATTATTTAGGACTAGGAAAAACAGGAGTAGAACAGACTTATAGTAATAATAAATAATAAAAGTGTCCATGCTGTTGGACTCCTCTTGTGATCCTCCTGTACTTATGATCGATTGTACAGTGTTCTGAATGGATCATTTAGATAACCACAATCTGGATCAAATTAGGACGAATACCATTAGTCTTTTCTAGTCAACTATACCTGACTACATATATAAGATCACTGATAGCCAATTTAAAGTCTTTCGTTCAGAAGGTTTGGTTTTGGCCCTCATTGCACTTTGAAACTGTAGTTCTGAAACAGTACTGCTAAAGCAGACTGATAAATAGCTACATTTATGCAATATTCCATTTGAATAGATAGATACTGTGACAGTTCATTTCTCACTATAGACTGTAAGGAAAGAATTTCTGTACTGGGCACATTAAAGATCAAGGCCTCCTGATGGCAGCCAGGCAGAGCGAGCCTGTAGGGAAATCAGGTTTGATGAATACCAAGGGCAGCATTTTAAAGCAAGAATAACAGACTGTAAGTATCCGCATTTCCAATTCCCTCCCCAATCCCACCCCTTTATTTATAGCAAAAGCTGCCCAATAGTCCTGGCATTTTTTTTCTTCCTAAGTCTATACAAAGCATCAGATCCTTTTCTATATTTCCTCAGACAGCTATTATCAATTAACTAGATTTGCTTCATTATCACGAATTTAAGAGAAAATAATGTATAAATATCATGTGGAAAGTTTTTTTTTTAAGTACTGCCTTTTTTAATCCAGCCATTTGCTACTGAAGCAGACAGCAAGACAGCGAGGTCCTGTCTACCCTCAAAGGGCATGGGTTATGCTGGATAAAACTATCCTAGATAAAAGTTCACTTTAGCTTTGCATCTTTCTCCCGGAAATGCCAATTAATTGTAGCTATGATGAAGATAATGATGATAATGATGTCTGGAGATGACCAATTCCTTGGACATGTATTAGGGCAGGAGTAAGAATGGTCTTATTTCTAAGAGTAACATCCATGACTTGTAAGGATCCAAGGAGTCAAAGCATCCCAAGAAAGCCTAGAAATAGAAACGCGTTTTTAGCTCAGTACAGTGCCATGCAAAATTAGTTCCAGAAATGGGTCAAAAAGAAACCAAGTACATATGCAAATATATTACTTTTACCATTCTAGCATAATAGAGCTTTTCATTTGGACTTCTGTTTCAGTCATAGGAAAATGGAGAGAAGGTAAGATTGTTAGGCAACAGATCTCTGGAATATTCTATGTAACCTTCTTTTACAAAATAGTGGTTTTCAGCAATAAACTCACATTCCAAAATTGCTAAGAGAAACAGACTTCATACATATGAATTATAATTTATGAATAGTCTCAAATATCAGACCTAACATCAAAGCAATCCTGATTCATACAAGCTTTCTAACTTTTTTCGAGGCAGGTCAAAATACCCATGGTGAATATCCATCAGGCAACAAACATTTACAGGTACTTATCCTGTGCCCAGCTCTGTCAGGCACTAGGGATGGTAATGCAAAGAGCGCCCAGCTCCTGCCACCCCCCGTCCCTTGGAGCTCAGCAATAGTAATGAAAGCTGTCAGACCTCAGCCACTTGTATGTTATATAATTTCTCAAATCAGTAATGTTTCAAATCTTCTGAGACAAGGAAACTAAAATCTATCCATCCCATTTTATAGATGGAATAGCTGAGATTGAGAATATGAAATCATTTTCCCTGAGCCACAGAAAGAGTGGTAGGTGACACCAAACTCCTGACTCTCACATTTCTTATCCTCAGCTTTGTTCTAATCTATAGGAATATTTCAATTTTAGGGGTATTGGCTTTATTCCATAAGCTGAGCTATTTTCATGAGTAAAACTAAAGGTATTGGCCTTACAGTGTTTCCTAACAGGCCCTTGGCTCAAGTAGGAATTTTTATTTCCAAGGACATAAGTACCTCTAGAGGAAATAACTCTTCTAAGATAAAAAATATTGATACTACATTCATGTTCACAGCAGCATTGTTCACAAGAGTCAAAAGGTGGGGGGCACCTGGAGAACTCAGCCAGTTAAGCATCTGCCTTCAGCTCAGGTCATGATCCCCGGGTCCTGGGATTGAGCCCCCTCAGGCTCCCTGCTCAGCGAGGAGTCTGCTTCTCCCTCTGGCCCTTCCACCTGCTTGTGCACACGCACTCTCTCGCTCTCTCAAATAAAGAAATAAAATCTAAAAAAAAAAAAAAAAAAAAAAAAAAAGTAGAAGCGACCCAAAATCCGTTAACAGAGGAATGGGTAAACAAAATATGAGATAATTATTTAGCCTTTAAGCAAAACAATGAAATATTATTTAGCCTTCAAAAGGAAGGAAATTCTATCACATGCTGCATCATGGATGAACCTTGAGGATATCATAAGTGAAATAAACCAGTCATAAAAAAAATACTTAATAAGGTATTGAGATAAAAAAATAATAAGGTATCGAGATTAGTCAAATTCATAGAGATAAAAAGTAGAATGGTGGTTGCCAGGGGCTGGGAGAAAGGGGAAATGGGGAGTTGGTGAATGAGAATAGCATTTCAGTTCTGTAAAATGAAAAAGTTCTGGAGAATGGTTGCTCAACAATGTAAATATTCTTAATACTACTATACATTTAAAAGTGGTTTAGATAGCAAATATTATGTGTATTTTACCACAATTTTTTAAAAAACAAACAAATAAAAAACCATACTGGTACTTACCTCATTATGGTAAAGTTTTAACTTTTTAAAAATTTTCTTTATGGCTTCTGTAATTGATAGGAACAGGATCTCTTGGTGCTATTAGGGGAAATCAAAGATTTTTCTGTGATGCTTTTGTCAGTCAATGGGAAATTTTTAAAAATGCTTTTATTGCCATTGCTTATAGGCTTCAAATTATTTTTAGAAATTAAAATGAGCTATTCTGTGTTCTAAAAATTACATTTAGGCAGTGAGATAGGGAACATCTTCCTGTGAGGTTGGAGCTAACCCTGCTACATTTTTGTTTTCACTTTTGGGAAGTATGCAGAAGCAGAAAAAAAAAAAACCCTATCATCCCGCCTATCAATGTGTTTACATATCTGAAATGTCTATGCCATATATATGTGCCATGGAGCAAAACCTTGGAATATCCTAGCAATTTACACTTATATTCGGTTTCTAGATTTTTAAGAATCTGTAGTTTTATCCACCATCACAGCTTCTTAATTCAGTCGAGGTTCACGGGGCATTCGATTTGAGTATCTAAAAAAGCGTAGGGTTTAAAATAGGGCTGCAGCTAAATGCCAGGGTTGATTACTGAGGAATGACAGATGGCATCCTTCCTATTCCTTACTAACTACTGCCTCAAAGGAGCTGGAACTCCGACTGGAGATAAGCGTCTGCCTCTTCATTCTCCCTGAGTTCATTTCTCATGGTCCTCAATCACATGTCTGGGAAGCTGGGTTTTTTTTTCCCATTGTACAGTTTGCCTAATTAATCTAATACAATTAATTAGTAGAAGATGATCTAAATAAATACTTACAAGTTGAGGATGGAAATCCATTTATTAATTTAAAAACGTTCATGACTACATCTATCTTATAACCATGAAACCCCCATTTAGTTTTTTAAGACATTAAGGAATTAAGAATTATGATTGGAATCTTTCAAATTTTGATTGGAATCTTTTAAAATCCTGAACTGAGCTGAAGAATCATTTTTGATTTTCCAAAATAATGTTCTTTCATGAAACAAGTTACTGAAGGGGCAACCGGATGCCTGGGACAAAAGACTTCATATATATCAAAAGACTCACTGAGTGACAGTTGTCTCCCTTTGATACACTAAGGGCTTACCTTGTGCACATATAAAACATCACGATTCTAAAATCCTAGACTGATTTGCCTGTCACCCTCTCTCCTCACATCAGCTTGTTCTGCCCATAAAATTCTTCCAGGCAAAGAACTTTGACTTAATTGGCTTTATAATTATTTTTCCTCCTCCCACCCTGTACCCAGCACAGAGCCTAGCAGATAGTACACACTCACTGAATGACTGCTGAATGAAAGAAACAAACTTTAACTTTGATATGACAATATATGTTGGTCAATACGTATGGAAGAAATATTATTTCAGAATGACAAAAGAAGTGAGATGCAAACATTTTCAACTCCTAGAACTTTTCCTGCTTTAACTAGTGTCCAATTTGTATTTCCAGTAAAATGCCTTTAGTATTGAAGTTAGCAATTATGCCGTCTAAGAGTGAAAGATGTGAAGTGGCATTGCCACTTTTTGAAAGGAGAAAGCCCTCACGGGAATATCTTTATCTATGATAAGGGTAAGGGGTGAGGCAATTAGGGAGTCCCAGGAAACCAATATAACTGAAATTAAACTTCAATTTCTCCGACGTATGTCAAAAGTATTTGAAAGGGGTAATGTGGCTCCACAAACCGCAAACCAGCTGAGCAATTTCTGGTTCGTAGCAATATAGGATAAAATGCAGAATTCATTTTCAAAGGCGGAATGCAAAAATACAGGCTCAAATTGCAGCTGACCTTGATGAATTAAAAGAGAATGCTGGATATCAGTTACTGAAATTTGGTTATACCTCTACCGCCCTCCCCAGTTACATCATGTTGAAATAAAGCCGTTTTGGAGAAAAACCCAACCACCATGGAAGTATTTACCTTTAATCTAGTTGGCACCCGCTTAATATTTCCCCAGCAGTGCAGTAAAGTAAAAATCAAAGTCTGTGGCTAAGATACAGGCTTCCTAAAAAAAATGTAAGTAAATTCCACTCATTTAAAATATTTCTGTTTTAAGTTAAAATAATGAAACACAGGACAAGAAAGGCAAAGAGAAAATATTCTTTAGAGAACTTAATTTCTGGGATCTAGCTGTTTTGCACAGCAGTTTTAATTGACATGAGCATCGGGAAAAAAATCACATTTTCAAAAATAAAGCCAACGAATCACTACGCCGGTCACGCACAAAGTTCCAGGAACGAGAGCAAAGCATGCATACATCCCCATGCAAAAAAATTTTTTTTTACACGAGAGCGTTTGCTCCCTCCTTACCTCGAGTGCAGAAGATTGCGGCGGGGCCCCCCGGCTTATTCGCTTGCAGCTTGGATCTCACAAAACGGAAGGGGCGTCTCGCTTGCTCATTTTTTGTGTTTACGGTGTGTGGGGTTTTTTTTGGTTTTGCGTGTTTTTTTTTTTTTTCTTCCCCTAATCCCAGAAGCGTGCAGCCATCCTGCCTCATTCGCGGAGTGATAACCCGGGAAAAACACCGCCCGCACCGCGAGCGCCTGGAGCAGCGGACGGTCCCCGGCGGCCGCCCCGCCCTCCCGGTGACGCTCCACTTCCTGTTAGGCCGAGAGGCAGCTCCCGAGAAGCTCGGTTTTGTAGTTTCCAGCCCACGTCCAAAAGCCAGCCCTCCTCCTCCCGCCTTCTTCCCCAAGGTAACAACTTTTAATCCTTCACGTGACGGGCCACGTGACCTGGCCCCAACAGCTTTCCGGAAGGGCGCCGCGGGCGTCCCGACCACGGGGCGGGGCCAGGGCGGGGGCGTGGCCTGGGCCTGGGCGGGGCCTGGGCGGGGGCGGGGCCCGGGCCGGGAGCGGCCTCCGCGCCCCCCCCGACGGGTCCGCTCCGCCAGCGCCGCCCCCCGCTGCGCGCCGAACTTCCACAGAGATCCCAGCGCCCCGAGATGACCTGGAAGTGAAGGCGCCCTGCACGAACTCGAGAGTTTTGGGGCGGGGGGGTTCGCGGGTCGAGACTGTCCGGGAAGCAAACCTCAATTCCAACACGATCCCGCAGGGGGCTCCTTTCAAGGGCTTCTCCTGGATTCACTTGACCTTCTTTCGAAAGACGTGTACTGATTTGCCCCCTTACCTGGCACTACGGAAGGCCGGGCGCTGGGACTGGGCGTACTAGGATTTGGGAGCCCACTGAGCTCGCCCCGCAGCACCATCACCTGCCGTCCTGCGGGCTGGGCGGCTGCAGAGCGCGCTGCCGCCTGGATCCTAAAGCAGGGCCATCGAAGCGCCGGGACTCATGCTACGAGGGGGAAGTGGCGAGAGGGCAGGCGCTGGACGCCAGCGCATCCGGGCACATCAGTGGGAGGCGGGCGAGGCGGGCGACAGCGGGCCCTCCAGCCCCCGGCCACCCCGGGCCGCGGGCCGCCACCGCCTGGTGACTGCATCCCAGGCCTGCGCACCTACCAGCTAGCAGCTGCCACCTTTTTCTGCCCCCGACAGCCCCCCCGGGGGCTCCCCCGCCGCCCCCGCCGCCCCCGCCGCGCAGGCCCCGCCCCGCCGCGCAGGCCCCGCCCCCGCCGCGCAGGCCCCGCCCCCGCCGCGCAGGCCCCGCCCCCGGCCCCGCCTCCCCTCCGCGTCCCAGGACGCGTTGCGCGGCCCGGGCCGGAAGTCGGCGAGTTCCCGGGTGTGTGCCTCCGTCTGTCTGTGTCTGGAAGCGGCGGGCGGCCCGGGACAGACGCCGGGGAACCCCGTCGGAGGCGTCGCCGCTGCACCGCCGCCGCCCACGGAGCCGCTGGCAGAGCGGAGTAGACCCGGCCCCTCGCCGGGCAGAGAAGATGTTGCCCCTGTCCATCAAGGACGATGAATACAAACCACCCAAGTTCAATCTGTTCCGCAAGATTTCGGGCTGGTTTAGGTGCGGGCTGCTGATTTTGCGGGAAGGGGTATCGGCCGAAGGGGAGAAGGCCCGCGGTCCGGCCGGGGGCGCCGGGGGCGCCGGGGACACCTTCCTTCCCCGCGGGGACTGGAGCGTTTGGAGCGGGGCGGGGGGTCTGGAAAGGGGCCCCGGGCCCGGGTCCTGGCGCTCCCTTGACTCTCCCGCCTCTTCTCCACTTTTATCTCTGCCAGGTCTATCCTGTCGGACAAGACGTCCCGGAACCTGTTTTTCTTCCTGTGCCTGAACCTCTCTTTCGCTTTTGTTGAACTACTCTACGGCATCTGGAGCAACTGGTAACCGAAGGGGAAAGGCAGGGCGGAAGCGGGGGGGGGGGCGAGCGGTGTTTGCTGGGTGCCACGTAGCTCCTCGCCGGGAGGTCCAGGTCTCGCTCTGCCGGCCGGCTCCGCCGCCGAGCTGCTCTCGCATCCGCACCAATCTGGCAAGGCTACGTTGGCGATCCGGGGCCCGTCACGTGCGGCAGCCTTACGATTTGGGTTCCGCCCTCCCAGGCCTCCCGTCAAACAAGAGTGACAAGTCTCCCTTCATTTTGGCCGGTAGAGAGTCATCCCTGACTACAAACCGTAGCTTTGCTCACTTTCTTGGAATTGGGAGAAAACCGTGTCCTGCCTCTTTGGGGTGGGAGTGTTCCTTGCTTCCCTTGCGGGGGAGTGGCATTCGGATTTCACCCTTAAGGTTCCGACAGGGAGTAAGACCGGAGATGTTCAACCTGCTTCATCAGGCCTTGCCATGGGAAGGAGCTCCGTGAAGGGGATTTCCGGGGAAATGTGTGTCATTCTCTTCTCCTTAGTTTTATGTTACGACTGTCTCGTGATTTCCCTCCGGGCTTCCTGCAGAAGAAGATCCCATATAGTTTCCCACAAACTTACATCTCTTGAGTTCATGGGTTTCTGTGCCATCTTTGGGTGGGTTCGTTTGTTTTTGAGACTGCGTTGGGAAGAGGCAAATTCAGGGACTCTGGAAATGAAGTACTATTACCCGGGCGTTTGCTGTTGAGTAACTTAGGGTCTTGTAAAACTGTTCAGCGAACAGTAAGATCATTACACTTCTAAGTGTGCTGATTGCTCTTTAAATCTCACACTCATTTGAGAATCTGATAAAAACCAACACTCAGAATTTTATATGAAACTCAGGGTGATACTGGGTTCCCTGAAATCGACCATGAACCCTAGCTTAAGAGCCTATGCCATTTATGCTTTATTTTCTATTAATTGGAGTTAGTCTCCATATAGTCCTTTTTCAGAGAGAATTGCCGTCCTTGATCTTTATTGAGATTGAACAATGATATTAAATAAGATCAGCCATTTTCTGTTGCATTTATATTTTTATATGAAAAAGTGGACTTCTTTTCAGATGTCAACTCAGTTTTATAAAAAATACCCAGCACATTATTGAAGGTTATTGATTTACTCACCACTTTAAAATTGAAACATAATAAAATCTTGGTATATGTAGTAACTGTTTTGAAACTTCTGGGAAGCAGATATGTGTATTCCATTATATGAATATCCTTCAATGTAAGGTGCATATTAAAAGCACTGTGTTGTATTGTAATGATCGTGCTTTAGTATAAATACATAGTACAATATATTTTGCTCTTCTTAAATTAAGCCATATTGTGGCATATGTACTGGCTGTATCAAGACTGTAACTTGGTTGCATATGTACGCTTCGGCTACAGTTGCTTTATATTACAATACATTATCTTTCAGTATGGCCTTCCATTACGTAAATTACTATGTGAAATGCCTTGTTCAAGGGCATTATATTTGAAGTACCTAAACCACTTCTTTCATGGAAGGTTAGGTATAAAGTAACTTTTTTGATCTGTAGGGATCTATTGAGGAAATTACAGTTGGCGTTTGAACAACATGGGGTTTAGGGGCATGAACACTGTGCAGTCGAAAATCTATGTATAAACGTTTGACTCCCCAAAAACTTAACTTCAGATAGCCGACTGTCAGCCATATAAGCCTTAGCAATAGCGTAGTTGACTAACCCGTGTTTGTATATTATGTGTATGATGTACTGTATCCTTACGATAAAGTAGGCTAAAGAAAAGGAAATGTTATTAAGAAAATCATAAGGAAGAGAAAATACATTTATGGTGCTGGTGCTGTAGTGTATTGAAAAATATCTGCCTATAAGTGGACTCGCGCAGTTCAAGCTTGTATTGTTCAAGGGTCAGCTGTACTAAAGTCATTGTCTTCTAAACCATGCGTCAGTATGCATCAGTACGTAAGGAAAATGTCAGTGGTACATGATTTTTTCTTCTGCCCTTTGGTGGCTTTTTCCTCTGATCCTACGATCTGTTTTTCCTCCAGTTTACTCTTTTCAACTGTGATATTTGTATCTTCCACATTTGAAATCTGTCTCTGACCTAGTGTATGTCATACCTAAACCATTCAGTAGGTATTCATCATTATGTTAACCTCCATATCCACTTATTCCCCAATATTAATTTTTATCAGTGGATTGGGAATACAACCACATTGTTCTTGAAGCCTTGGCAGATTTAAAAATTGCTTGGGCCTTTTCATAATCTGGATTTCTGTGTCTTACTTACATATCACAGTTTTTAGTCCCTTTTGTTGACTGATCAACAATTTCTTTATATGACTGGATTATCTATTCCTAAAGTTTCAATTAGATTTTAAGTTCCTTGAATAAATGCGTCACCAAAATTCAGTTTGTTTGTCATAGTCATTTCTGTGTTCATTTTCATTCTATAAGAATTAAGTTTCAAGATGTTATGAACATGAAATGTCAATAATTTTTTCCATTACAGAATTAAAAGATGGATAAAACATGCTCTTTCTTCACAAGTAAAGCTTTATAGGAACAGTTGGTCTAGTTGCAAAAAAATGTTAAATAGTTCTGCTTCTTGTTTAGGGCCTTCATTATTTAAAGAAAGAACTTAGGGATGCCTGGGTCGCTCAGTTGGTTAGGTGTGTAACTTTGGCTCAGGTCCTAATCTCAGGGTCCTAGGATCAAACCCGATGTCAGGCTTCATGCTCAGCGAGGAGTCGGCTTCTATCTCTCCTCTGTGTGTGTATGTTCTCTCTCTCTCTCTCTCTCTCTCTCTCTCTCATATAAGTAAATAAAATCTTTTAAAAAATAGAGGAAGAACTTAGTTATAGTTGGTTTACATTTTTGATGGTGAGAATGTGTCATCAGTGGAAGCATAGCTAAACTCTTTGTGTGTTTTCCCCCATTAGATACCCAGTGCTTTTTACTTTTCCACTAGAATGTAAACTTTATTAAAGTAGGGATCTTTTCTATCTTACTCGGGCACCTCAATACATGGCACATAGTGTGCTTAATACATATGTGCTGAATGAAGAATGAGGGAATAAAGAATGTTTGGAGTTAATCTACCTATACTAAATGTACTAACTACCCCTGTTAGAAAGGAAGAAAACCATTAAACTTTTCTCTTATTTTTTGAAGTTAGTAGGAAAGGTAGGAATACCATATGTGATCTTTCCTTCTAGGGTTCTTTTTCCTTTTAGCATTTCATTTTTATTGCTATTTATTGTTGAGTAACTAGTTAATCTCAAGTTAATATAGTATAAGTATGTGATTTTGTACCATCTAGGATTAAGTTCTTTTTCAAGCTACAGAAAAATCTCCAAATAATGATTTCTTAAATAAGACAAAACTTTATTTCCAGGATGGCTGTTTCAGTTCCAGCCATCCTTAGCATCGGATTTTCCAGAATGGAGAGAAAAAGAGGTAAAAAGTGTACATAGTATCTTTTAAGGAGATTTATCTGGACAGACTTAGAGGACTTTGACTTATATTTTAGTGGCTAAACCTTTAATCATTTTGGTCATGCCTAGTTGCAGATGTCATCATTGTTCCAGTCAAACAGGTATTCTGCTGAAAGTCAAGGATTCTTTACTAAGAAAGAAAGGGAGTATCTGGATACTGTAGGCTCAGGAAGTGGGACTAGAAAGAGATAAGCTAGTCTCCTATAGATAAAAAACTGAGGCCCAGGGTTTTTTTTCCGGAGTAGCAGCAGAGCCTAGAAGCACCTGTCATCCTGGAGGTTTTCTTTTTTCCCCCCCCCCCCTGCTAACCATGATTCTTTTCTAGTATCTCAGTATTGTTTCCTTTGTTCTTATGCTCTTTTGTTCTGTGTACTTCATTGTCTGTTAGAAAATTTAATTTCAGTAATATTTCTTACCAAAGGTGTTGCAGTCATTTCCCCCTTAGGCATGGAGCGAATTCAGATAATTCTAAAGGTAAATGTCTTTGTATTAACAAAGTAAATATTTGTTCAGGAAATGTTTTAGGCTATACCGGACATTGATTTGTTCCTACTTCTATATAGTATATCATAGCATATGTTTGCAGTGTAACTCCTTGGTAAAGAAAATGATTCTATTAATCACATTTTTCTATAGAATTAAAACAGATACATCTTAGTCTTTTGTCAGTTTTTCCCTCTCAAAAGACAACGTTAATTACCAGTTCCTGGTGATGACTTTTGCTTTCTTCAGGTTTTCTTTTTCTTTTTCTTTTCTTTCTTTTCTTTCTTTTCTTTTCTTTTCTTTCTTTCTTTTCTTTTCTTTTCTTTCTTTTCTTTTCTTTTCTTTTCTTTTCTTTCTTTTCTTTTCTTTTCTTTTCTTTTCTTAATATTTTATTATTCATGAGAGACATGGAGAAAGAGGCGGAAACACAGGCAGAGGGAGAGGCAGGCTCCCCGCAGAGAGCCCCATATAGGACTCAGGACTCAGGACTCAATCCCAGGACCCCGGGATCATGCCCTGAGCCAAAGACAGACACTCAACCATTGAGCCACCTAGGCGTCCCAAGGTTTTATTTTTCACTTTAAAAATGCAGATAAATGTTCCATTTTGCTGAGAATTTTTTTAAGTAAGGGATTATATAATGGAATGTAGTGGAGTTGAGGGTTTTTCATCATAACTCTCCTTAGTTTAGCAACTTATACAAATGTCAGGATTCTAATTTCTTGCTAATAAATTGGTAGTTAATAGTTTTTTCCACCTTCCCAACTCTTGGGATCCAATCTTGATTATTCCTTATCTTCGGTTTTGAATTAATCTTTAGCAATCATTATAAATATACTGTTAGCTTAGTTACTAATAGACTTTAAAAAATTTTTTTACTATGGGGACGCCTGGGTGGCTCAGCAGTTGCGCACCTGCTTTTGGCTCAAGTCGTGATCCTGGGGTACGGGATCGAGTCCTGCATTGGGCTCCTTGTGAGGAGCCTGCTTCTCCCCCTGCCTATGTCTCTGCCTCTCTTT